GAGCCGGTTCACGTGTTACGGGATCTAGCCCCGGAGGGCCGCGTTAAAATGAAGATTGCCGTCAATGAATTGAGAACTCACTTTGCGAACGGTGGAATTGATTGGCGTATTGAGGATTTCCGCGTGGTTCGGAAGATGCAGAGAATGCGCTGGAAGCCAGTTCTATACCTTCCCCGACATTAAGATCAACAACTGCATTGCATATACTTTTTGCGAACGTGCGCAGCCTACGTAACAAACTAGATGAGCATGCGCACCTTGCGTCAGTACTCCTCTTGGACCATATGGCGTTTACGGTGACACGGTTGTCCCCAGAATGCATAGACCCCGAAGTACGTATTTCTTGGTACAGTCTCTTACGAGATGTCTGCACTGGTTTGAGGTCGGGGGCGGCGTCAAGCTTTACTAGAAGGAGAAGCTTTAGGTCCATGTAGTTAATGTCGTCTTGGGAAGCGCTTTGGTGTCGTATTCCCGATGGATGTAGATCGCTCCTTCTCGGTGTCTTCCTCCGAGCACCCTGGAGTTCTAGTAAGCGTTTACTGGAATCTCTAAAGAAACGTGGTGAAAATAAAGATTGTTCGCTAGTGGGGGGACTTTAATGCCCCTGTTTGATTGGGAGCTTCTTCACTGTGATGCTACACTAGCCTCCTTCGATTCTACTTTTCTGGACGCTGTTCTTGAAATCAATTTGTGTCAACATGTCGCGGCACCTACTCGCCTTATCCCTGATCAGAGGCCGCACATACCCCATTTGGTGCTTTTGCCTGCGCTATCGGATGTTTCTGATTTGAAGATTTTACTACCAGGCATGAGGGGTGCCCACTGTCTAGTTTCCTTTCACTGGAGCACACTGTTGAGCATTCAGAACCACTGTGTCTATCGTCGGAATTTCTAGCATGCCGATCCAAACCGCTTGCAGATGGCCGCTAGCGAGCAGGATTGGAGTTTTCCCCAGCACTTAGACGTCGATGATGCTTGGAGCCTTTATTACACTAAATTGTTGTCGTATGACGATGTTTCCATATCCAAACGAAAACGATTTACTATAGGTCCCATTGGATTGACCGAGAATTACGATCGCTCATGAACCAAAGACAAAAACTTTGGAACCGCTACAGGTTTTCGAGATGGGAAACTAATTTTGGAAATTATAAATTGTTTCGGAACGTATGTACATCCAAGAAACGTATGAATGGCAGCAATGCGAAGATCATCTGGCTGAACCTTCCAATTCCATACCGAAGCTGTTTTCTCCTACTTGAATAAGACCATCAGCATCTGAAGTGCAATACCGTCCTTACATTCGCGATTTCTTAACATCGCGCTCCACGACGATGGTGATACATTTAGTCATTTAGCGTGTTATTATTCATTGACCTATACCACAGAGGTGATGTCAATTGATCCTTATTCGTCCTTGCTCTCGGTTCTCAGTGATATGGACATAGAGGTTAGTATGGTGTACAAACTTTTGTACCAGCTGGATCCAAAAGCTTCCTGGGGACTTGATGGATTGCTTCCTCATTTCTTCAAGATTGCGGTAGAAGATATTGCTATTCCAATCTGTTACACATTTATTAAATAAATAAATAGCATATTCTCGAATTCGCCGAGACACGCCAAACCAGGCATGATCAACAACTTGACGCCGGGCGTCTTCCGCTTGCCTGAAAAGTGGGCATAATCAGGCCCATATATAAATAAGGAAGTCGACAAGATCCCACGAATTTTCGGCCCATTTGTCTAGCATCTATCGTTTGTAAGGTTATGGAGAGGATACTTAAGCGGGCTCTCAACTTGCATTTCCAGAACCTCAAGTTAATTTCAGCAGCGCAGCATTGGTTTCGTCGTTCGCTTTCATGTGTCACTAATCTTCTGGCATCTCGAGAAAAGTTTGCCAAATCCATGGATGCCGGCAAGTGGCTAGATGTCGTATTTATGGATTTTAGTAAAGCTTTTGAAAGGGTTGCACTTGAAACTTTGCTTAGCCGACTGCGCAGCATTGGTGTTGCAGGAAAAATCCTCCCTTGGCTCACTGATTTCCTGCATGACCGCACTTTCCGTGTGCAAGTAAATGAGTCCCTTTCCTAACCTGTAACTGACCAGCGGTGTTCCGCAATACTCTGTTCTTGGCCCTGAACTTTTAAACTCTGTTAATGACCTGGCGTCTGCACAACAGGTAGACTTTTTGATTTACTCAGATGCTTTAAAGCTATAAATGGAAGTCTCCCGTGTAGATGAAGCTGAGATACTATAAACAAGGCTCGATTTGCTGCGTGATTGGTCGATCAGGTGTCAATTACCCATGAATCACGATCAATGTTCCGTTCCTTCAGATCGGTGCTCCAAACCATTTGTAATTTATCATATTTGTTGGATGCTGTTGCCAAACCCTAATCGTGAGAAGAACCTTGGTGTCGTTGTGACCCCAGATCTAAAATCGACTGAAGATACCTTGAGGAAAGTCGCCTTCTGACAATAGGTAGTTTTACGCCATACGCCGATCATTCTCCCGGTTGACTCCGGAGTGTTCAGGCTCGTGTTCACTTCTCATGTACGTCCGATACTTGAGTATGGACTGCCCGCTGTTTATTCCCTTTCCAATTATACTGTCACGTGATTGTAAAAGTACAGCGGAGAGAATCTAAATCCAT